AGATGGTAGGACGAAAATTCCTGGTGACGACTATGTGTCAGCGCTTCTGTGCGCATGATTTTGAATGTTAATGAGCCTGCGATATTTTATCCTACCAGAAAGTTACAAGGCAAAGGATGGTGAGTGAGATTTTTGCCTATTTTTTGTCGTAAGATTCCGTTACTCTCCTCCTTTTGTCTATATCATGACATTTAGGTTACCTTCGTACGTGATCTTCATTGAAAGTCTTGGATTACTTTGCTTTAACCATTGCAAAATCGACGAAGAAATAGACATCCCCCAGACTTTCGTTTGTTCTGTCAAGCGTACACGAGCTTCATTTTTAGGTTTTTGTCTGTGATGTGATTGTGTTTGATCGTTGTTCTCTACAACATTCTTGGTTTAGCTCATCATCTTAAACCTTAATTAAGTCTTATATTTTTTTGCTGACCGCTACGTGCAGTGATACGATCCTTTATTGTGGAGTAGATAGTTTATATTCGTTTATGGTCAGTTTAGCTTTGTTGATCAAGAATTTAGGGTAAATTGTAATGTTGTAGTTGTTTTAGTAGTATTAATTGAATAAAACGTTCACAACTCTTTTAACTTTAATAGTCTTGGTGTTTTAATCTTTGCTTTCAAGACTGGTCAAAGAAAATGAGTAAAAGATAGAGTTGAAGTAAACAACAAATCATTACGTGCAGTATAATGTCTTTTTGAAGATAATATAATTTTGATTTAAATGTTAGCTTAACTTTTAAAATTGTAAAAGTAGCCTACTGGTCATGCTTTCCATTTACAACAGGGTCAGAATCAGTCTGGAAGTGGAGGACCTGGAGGAGACAAAAAGGGAGACAAGGTAATAATAAGTGTTGTTATAAAGATAGAATTTTGTTTCCCCAACAGCAAATGCATTTGTTGGTTACTTTGAGGTTTTTCTCATCGCCTCCTTTCTTTCTCCTTGCTCTTTCCTTTTCTCCTTTCCTTTTTCTTTGCTATTTTTAACCAATGGTGTCTGAACAGACGACACTGAAAAATATATGCATTGCACTGTTTCTGACAACTGATGACCACTCATAATTTGAACACATAGAAACTGATCTTCATGGGCTATTTAACAAATTACTTATGAAGAGACCATTCAGTAAGTGTGTGTTAAATATGTATAGTCTCAGTTACTATGAAGTGAACTCTGTCTTGCAATTACCTGTACGTAGGACAGAAGCTACCCTAAATGAAACAGCTAGAGTTGATCCTTGCAGTTCTTCAATAAGTTTCTCTAGCAAAAACATGATTGATTTAATGCCACACTGAGTCTGTCTCTATGAATTTTTTTTGACTCAGAGATCTTAATATTCTATGTAATCAGTGATGATAAACCTGCGCTGACAACAATATGAAAAAAGATATATTTTTGATTTTAAATTCTGTTATTGGTCAGGACAAGAAAAAAAAGTATGAGCCCCCAATCCCAACCAGAGTAGGAAAGAAGCAGAAAAAAGCTAAAGGTCCTGATGCTGCTAACAAGTTACCTCAAGGTGAGGAAAGAAGAACTGTTTACTTTAATTTGCCTTAACTCCTAACCCATTTCTCCTAGTTCAATATTGTTATGGAGACTGTGTTTTGTAGATCTTCCTTTTGAGTCTAAAATTAAATGAAATCCTATTCAAACCCAATCAATAGAGGCACTGAAGGGATCATAGAAAGTGTCCGTATTAACAGGGTGTCCTTATTAAGCATGTCATATTATTTAAGTGAAAAAAAAACTCCGTTTATTAGAACAAAATACTAAAGAAATAAAAGAGGGCACTAGTATTGTCAAATTGAACATTTCTAGTCTTCACGAAGCCGTCATTCCGTGGCTTAAATGCATGGAAACACTCAAAAATCACTCATTTAGCTGCATAACTTGTTTGATACCAAAAATTGACATCCACAAATGTTCAGTTGATAATGAAGTGTCTGCATTAGCAAGGTTGTCTTTCTATGAGAATCTGTTGATTGGGCATGAAATAAGTGTCCGTTGTCCACATTAATGGGTGTCTGCATAGTGTGTTGAATCATTTTGAGAAAACTATCCAATAAGACAAACTAGTGGCCATCTTGGAGAGGATACTGTTGTAAAGAGATTACCAGTAAAAAAGGTTTAAATTTATTAACCAGTCTTTGGTATCTGTTTAGTAACACCACACAGGAATTGTAGATTAAAGCTGCTAAAGTTGGAAAGAATAAAAGATTATCTTTTGCTGGAAGAAGAATTTATCCAAAATCAAGAAAGACTCAAACCCCAGGAGGAGAAAAATGAGGTATGAGTTAAGCATTTTGCTTAGACAGCTGTAGCAAGTGTTTTTCATCAATCATGGTAAAAACGTGTAGGAAAGCTAAAGAGATGCTATATGGTAGCTTAAAGTTTTAAGCTTCTAAGAGACAGTGGCTGTATGTTATTGTATCTGAAGGGTTTTGGAGCAAGTTTGTGTATGTATGTGTGAACTCATTCCCACAGTCTAAAAGCTGGATTGCATGTAAGTTAGGGTGTATGCTGCAAAAAATCTTAATGTAAGTTTGCTGTATGCATTTGATTGCAGGAGGAGAGGTCAAAGGTTGATGATTTGAGAGGCACCCCAATGTCAGTGGGAACTTTAGAGGAGATAATTGATGATAATCATGCCATTGTGTCTACCTCTGTTGGCTCGGAACATTATGTCAGCATCTTATCATTTGTTGACAAAGATATGCTTGAGCCTGGCTGCACTGTACTGCTTAATCACAAGGTTTGTTGACAAGCAATCAGTTTTTGTTTTCTTTTAGATGGAAATAACCTTTGACTGCATTTTGAGATTGTTATAAGAGCACAACCACACCATAAATGTAGCTACTGCTGCTGCAGCCAGATCTAATTTGCTAAGATTGACACTGTTGTGTGTTACTGGCACTGCCTTTCTTACAAGAGGTGTCCACTCTATGGACAGTCATGGTTACCTTAACACGGGTAATACTGAGACAATAAACTACTTTAGAAGATAATTAGGACTGACATGTTGGCGACAATAATAACAATAACAACATTCAACACACTTTTATTTGGTCATGTTCAAGTTTAGCTATGGCAAGTCAAACACCACTTTCCCAAATTCTATTTTGTCTGTTTTGTATCAGTTTTGGTGCATAAAGTCACAAGGAGAGTAATAATACAGAAGAATGGCTTGGACTTATTCTCCCTTTAGTCCAGAGATGGAGGTATCTTTAAAGCTAACTCTATGCTAAAAATTAATAAAGTTGTTCTGTGTTGTCAGGTGCATGCAGTAGTTGGTGTCCTGTCTGATGACACAGATCCCATGGTGACTGTTATGAAACTTGAAAAGGCTCCTCAGGAATCATATGCTGACATTGGGGGACTGGACCAACAGATACAAGAAATCAAGGTATACCTTAATTGCCACAGAGCAGCCTTGCGAACACAGCGGTAGCCTAATAAAGCCATGTGTGAAAGTTCTGAGGCACAATGAATCTCGAATAGATGTAACATGTAGTAATGTAAGGTTACATTTATGACGTAATGCAGAACAGATAATGCATTGTTTTCAAGCGAACTTGTGATGCAGAACAGAGAATCCCGTGCTCATCCAATATCCTAACCGTCCTCAACCAATTGTCGGGTGGACTCATTTGCATCATACGCATATAGGTAAAAGCTTTTCTGGTTGGCACTTAGTTATATGACTGTTTCTTAAAAATCATGTATTTCCACAGTAGGGGAGATAATTAACCAGTTGATGTAATTTTACATTTACAAAAGTGGAAAACTGACCCAAGTGCTGACTTAAGTGTCCACCTTGGCTCTAAATACAAACTGCTCCGAATTGCGCTGGTTGTCATCATCAAAAATATTAGCTCTGTTGAACTGAAACAAAAGAAGGAGTACATCCTTGAGTACATGCAAATTAGGCTTTGGGTTTAATTATAATCCCATTACTCTGTTGCTTCTTAGGAATCTGTTGAACTTCCTCTAACACACCCAGAATTGTACGAAGAGATGGGAATAAAGCCTCCCAAAGGAGTGATTCTGTACGGTCCACCCGGTACAGGTGAGTGACCCAGTCACACCTCCATTCTAACTGCATAATTTTAATGTTAGTGAGATGAGTAAGAATCATTTAAATGACATGGTGAAGCAAATATGTGATCAGCAAAACAAGGAATCAAGTGCGTAACTTGCATCAAGTCAATTGAGACTAAAAGGTGAAACACTTGGTAGGTGATGGACGGAGGAAAAGAAACCCGCATTGAACTCCACAGTAATACATGTATAAAAACAACAGTATGCAAATATATTGTGGACTGATTAACCAAAAACTGCAATTAATGGCTTGAAGAAAAAAATTAACTTGCGAACAAAAGTACGATACAAAAATTCTCAGTGACTAAACCTGTGTAGATGCTTTTTAATGGATATTCTGTGACTTTTCTTTTTGTAGGAAAAACATTGTTAGCGAAAGCAGTCGCAAACCAAACAGCTGCAACATTTCTTCGCGTTGTTGGATCAGAATTGATACAAAAATATTTGGTAAGAAAAGTAATAAATTATTTTGTTTATGTCCCCTGAATGTATTCATGACTTTGTGCAGCTTATGTTCTGTTCCAGGCAACGAGGTTACACTATGTCAGCTGATGAAGAGAGACATTTCAAAGCAATGATTCTTCATTAAAAAAACTATCCTGGCCAAGCCTCATCCCACAGATTTGAAGCCCCAAATAAATCACTCACTATGTCTGACATAGGCTATGTGAATTGCCTTGAATGTACTCGCAGTAGTAAGGTCTTGTCTGCAGAAGATCTTCACTATGAACAGTAGATCTAATGTGTGTCAATGTTTTCATGTGTTTAGGGAGATGGTCCAAAGTTGGTCAGGGAAATGTTTAGAGTAGCAGAAGAGCATGCGCCATCGATAGTTTTCATTGACGAAATTGATGCCGTTGGAACAAAAAGGTAACATGAAAAGCGAAGAATAATCTTAAGTTGTTTTGTTTTGCTACGGGATGTTTTTTCTTCAAATCCTGTTAAAAGAAAATCCAGAGTTCTTATAGCATCTTAACTTAAATGCTTTATGGCTAACCTTGATTAACCAATTTGTTTTTCAGGTATGAGTCCAATTCAGGAGGTGAGAGGGAAATTCAGCGCACCATGTTGGAACTTCTTAACCAGTTAGATGGGTTTGACTCCAAGGGTGATGTCAAGGTACTTGTTATCTTGCAGTGGCATTAACACAACTTGTCGCACTGCACAACTAAGTCTTAAGATGCCAGATGAGAGAATTAAAATGAAGCCACAAAGATCTTGAAAACCTAACTTTATTGGCTTTAGTAATAACTAGTTTTTGGGGTGAGGGTTTGATTTGAATATTAATATTTCTGTATTATTTTCTAAGTCAATCCTGTGAATTGTTCTGGAAAGCTTATATCTCCACGAAGGAACAACCTTAGATAGGACTTTCCTCAACTTAACATAATTGTAATTTTTTGGCCGTGTGCTTAATGGCCTGTAGTTTGACCACATTGTAAATGTTTGTATTGCTTCAAAAGCACAATGTGAAACAGGGTGGTGTCGTGTGATTTAGATAGGCATCATTCAACTGAATGCAGTGCTGTGATAATTTGCTTTGAGTGTTGTAACTAACGTGCCATGTCCCTTGTAGGTTATCATGGCTACAAACAGAATTGAGACTCTAGACCCCGCACTCATTCGGCCAGGTACAGTGTCTTTACCTTTAAAAATAATTTGTGTATATTTTAATTCAAATAATGTTTTTGGCACAGCTTAGAATAGTATCTGATGAAGAGAAAATATTAACAATTTGAATCTGTGTGATGCATTTGTTATTCCAGAATATGCATGGAACCCCAACTGCCATTCTCTAGCAGAGCCCTGCTAGAGGTCCCTGTCAACTTACTGTTTCAATTTTTTTCAAACACAAAATTGCAGTTTTCCCCAAGGGTCCAAAAATAAAATTAAAATAAAAGGTTGTGATAGTAGAGCAATAAATTGAAACATCCAAGTAAACAAGTCATTCAGAGAATTCCCAATAAAAGGGGTGTTACATACTGGGGTGTTAGTTACAAAGGAGATTGTAACACTGGTATTTGATCATAGTTTACTTTTGCTTTTTACTATCCTTAAGGGCGCATTGACCGGAAGATTGAATTCCCACTTCCCGATGAAAAAACAAAGCGACGCATATTCACAATTCACACCGGCCGGATGACACTGTCTGAAGATGTCAATCTTGAAGAGTACGTCATGGCCAAAGATGACCTATCAGGTGCAGACATAAAGGTAGGCCAACCAAATCATAAAAACCAGACCTTGGTTTAACAACGCCCAAGTCACTGGTGAGATTTGTGGCCACCATGACCCCCCATTAACCCCATGTGCCATTTGGATGCTCTGTTTTTTATTATATGCCTGGCCAGGAGCTCATTTCCCTACTTATGGGCTCCTAGCTTGGCTTTGCTATCTGGGGGTCCAAACCTTTTGCCTCCCATACTTTTCATTCCTGGCTCCTGCCTCTTTTTTTCTTGGTCCCCTACTTTGATTGTGAAATATTAAACAGTGTTGAATAATTTCTCCCTATTTCTCCCACTTTCCGCCCTTTTAGAACTCTGACCTTCCCCCCTTTCCACCACATCGTCTTTACTCTCTAGTTTCCCCTTCTATTAGGCTGTGTACAGACCTCCCCCTCCCCTCGGGAAAAATCGAAAAAATACGATTATTCCTCTGGGGAGGGGGGTTCTGTACATGGGCTACCCTTCTACCACCTCTCAATGTCCTTTGCTTAATGTGATGTTCCTCTGAATGTTTGGGTAAAAAAATGAAAAAGAACCTAGAAATTAATCAGGTTAGAGCTTGAAAACGAAATTGGATTTTTTTCTTTCTCGTTGTTATTAAGGATTAGCTAACATTGTTTTACTTGTCATTCTCTTAAATAGACATGGTGTAAGTAAACATGAATTTTTTTTTGCAATTTTAGGCTATCTGTACTGAGGCAGGTCTGATGGCGCTGCGTGAAAGAAGAATGAAAGTCACCAATGAAGATTTCCGAAAGTCTAAGGAAAACGTTTTGTACAGAAAAAATGAAGGCACGCCTGAAGGACTTTACCTCTGAGCTGTAGAACCTCCCTTTCAACTCTTGTGTATTAAAAATAAATTGCGTTAAACTTTTGCTTGTCTGACACCGTTCAACGTGTTTTCTCTCGTAAGGGTGCTGACTGTTGAAACGAGGAAACTTGACAAGTGTCTTTTGCAAGCAAAAACTTGTCACCTTCATAACAAGAGTACACTAAAACGTCCTACGGGCAACAACTGTCTCTGTTGACTGCCTGGACGAAAAAAGTTATTTTCTCGACAGTTTTTTTTTTCAAGATCGTTGCTGGCGTCTTGGATTAGCCCAAATCGGTCAACAATAATTTGGAACTTCTTCTATGAATAAAAATCAAAAAGCTGTTTGGTGGTGTTTTGGAACGGTGACAGGGCCACTTGGAATACTGACAAAAGGTTTCGACTTTGACTTGAGGTCATCTTCAATTTTTCTTAAGGGTAAATCTTCGTAAAATGGTCTGGGTGCCTGCCATATTGGTTCAAAGTTTGAAATTCCTGTATTTTGTGCGTGGTAAACATGAGTCAAGAAATAATGTTTAGTGATATTGCGGAGCAGTGACAAGGTGGATTAGATTCCGATTTTTATTCCAAGGTGAACAGTTTTGATTACCTTTTTGAATGGCGCTTTTCAGCAGGCACGATTTAATCGATTTCTATGATTAATGAATGAAAAATGGTGTCACTTGAAGAATGTGCTATTGATTTTCTTGTAGGTATAAAAACGTCTAAGAAATCGGCATATATAAGAAACCTCATTTTGACAAAAAGTGTAAATAACTTCCACATTCATTTCCCTGACTTCTGCAAGCAAGCCTCAGAGCGATCTACAATAGATTTGAACCTGTAGGTAGGAAGCCAATAATGACCATACAACGCGCTGAACAAAATGTTGGTGACATTTAACCATAAAATGCTATGTTAACATGAAAGTTGACGCACAAATTGTGGAAGAGAAGAGTGCTGACAGACTATTGCCTATCTGAAAGGGTTTTCTTACGTTAAGCTTTATTAAACGAAACCGAGTAATCAGAAACCTGAGGCGAATACAGTTGGCGCTAACAACTTCACGCTGGATGTTTTCGCCCCTCTCTTCTTAAAACAAATCCCAACATAGCAAAATATGACATCTACGGAAATTTCTTACCAATTCTAAGGACCGTAGGTTCCCGCTTCGACAAGAAATATAGCCACCAATTCCAGTACTTCTACCATCCATTTTCCAGCTGAGATGAAACGCTTTATGCTAGGTAATTTATTCAAGCTCTTTTGAAAGGCTTTCACATTCGCACGCGCCGTTTGCCACCTTCACATTTTTTCCTCATTCTTCTCAAATGGCAAAATAGCGTGCGACTGTGATACCCATCCAAAAAGCTTGCATAATTTACCAAGCACAAGGGTTTTCACTGCAGCTGAAAATGGATGCTTAGAACTGCAATGCTCTATTTTGCCTTGTTAAGATTTGTTTGGTGCGTTTCGATTTTTCGTAGGATTTCGAAGTTATTTACATTTTTTTGCAAAAATGAAGCTTGAAATGTATGCCGATAAATCAAATGTTTTTATACGAGTAGTAATATTTTCTTAAAGATCAACATTCTTCAGAGGGACGGAAATGTAGAAATCAGTTTAATCTTTCCTGATGAAAAACGCGGTTACCAACACACTATCAAATAGGTTTTGTCCACCTTAAACAGTTTTGTCCAAAATTGTGGCCGATAGTTCCACTAAGAGATGAGTGGGAGGCCATGGGACGGACCAATGTTTGAAAATGAGGGGTTCGGCTTTTCGAAATGGCTCAAGACGACGGCTGCATTGAAACCGACGACAGGCTAATCTTAAAAAACAGGCCTTAATGGTCGGTTTGGGAAAGGTTACAAGTGTGGCCGAGGACAGAGCGGAACTCGAACCCGGGAGTGCCGCATTGCGAGTACGACGCGCTGACCACTCGGCTACGCTACCTCCTAACTTGAAGAAAGTTAGCCTGCGCGCGAGCAAGCTCTCTATTTCGAGTGGCAAGCGAAGAAAGCCGCGAGAGAACGCGCGCGCGAGTGGAACTCTCGCACTCGCGTATCCTCTCGCGTGCAGCTCTCGCGTGACGAGAGCTGCACGCGAGGAGAGCTTGCTCGCAGGCTGAAGAAAGTTGAGCCTCTCTCTGTCTGTCCCCTCCAAGAAACAATAAGTACAACAAACAACATCATAAAAATATCATTATTCAAATTCACTAAAAAAATATATCGATCTGGCTAAACCAAATAATTCTCAATATTTTCTAAAAATTCTCTTTAAAAAGTCTCTAACAGATAAATTATATTCTCATAGTTTAATAAACCTTCCCATTATAAAGGGAGGCTGTGATCAATCCTAGTTTTGCAGCAAGTTCTTGATCTTGATAAAGAGCGGCAATCATAACCAGTCTATGAACTCCACTGCGTTGCAGTGAAAGCAGAGCGATACAAGGTAGATCACTGAATATCAAATCATTATTACGACACATCCGGTAAGGGTGGAGTCCATTGTCAGGCTTCCGTGAGCGAGACGTTCACTTCAGCATTTCCATCTTTAAAAACAATGCCGGCCTAGAGGGAAGGATGAGTAGCGGATGATAAGGAGAAGACAGCAGCAGCAGCAGCGAGCGGCAGCAGCACCTCTGGTCTAAGACAAAAGGTACAGCTACGGGAAAAGGAGCGACAAGTTAGTCACTCAGAAAACTACACAGCGTACGATTAACTAGCTTCCTATGCAGATAGATGTTTTAGCAGCCAATGGATGAAAATATCAAAGCATCGCCTCTTCGTTTTCCCGCCAAAGAAAACCCTAACATGGAGAAGGCATTGTTCGATTGGCCGATTCTGTTGCAGTATGACGTCAAAGCGAAGTATAGCTTGATTTCTAGAAAGTTCTCGGGCATAAAATATTTTTTTACCCGAGCGTTCGCTTAACCAATCACATGCCACGCGCGTTTGTATCCGTTCGATAAACCAATCAAATCGCCCTATTTCCGTTCGTTTGTTGTTTCTGTTTTGTTCGCACGATTTCATTTCAAGGTGATACGAAAATCGCTCTATTCTTTTAGCCCGGATTCTCATTTAACCATCTGGATCCCCTCGTTCAACTCAAGTACGACTCAGTTCGTCGCAAAAATTTGACTGACAAAGGGTAACTAGCCTAAGTACAGCCGTCCCCTCCCTTCAGAAAAAATCGGACAAGAGGAAGAAGAAGGGCTACTTCTCCGATCTTTACTGAGGGAAGAGGGTTGTTCTGCAAAGGATGAACAGTAACTTGTTTTTCGTTTTTTTCTTTTCAAAGCTGTCACAGTTTTACTCTCGGTTGTCAACTTTCCTTCATACCTTTCGTTTCACATTTCGCGCGTTCTTGGCCTACGCAAAAATACGGTTTGTTTTGTAATCCGAGGACCGACTAGCGGAGAAATTTTATACCATGACGCGTCACTACCCAGATCTGGGTAGTCGATTGGTTGAACCAAGTTTCCCTCGCAGCACGACCAATCAGAAGCACTACCCAGATCTGGGTAGTGACACGTCATCAGTATGGAATTTCCACGCTCGTTTCTCAGACTTCATTTCGCGGGGAAACAAGTGGTGGCGTCGCCAAATGTAGGCTGTTTTCTCGGGCAAGCTGTTTTGCAGTCTATCACAGAATGTGTTTCAGCGATCAAGACAATCAGCAATGATGCAGTTTTTCCGGACGCTTAGGGTGACTGCAGTCACCCAGATGGAACCATTCTATGTGACAGACTGGTCACCATAATAGTATCAGCATTGTCTCGATCATCGATCATCCCAACCGTCCCAAACAACAATAACTAAAAAAGTAAATGTTTACTCACTCTCTCCCCATCACCGGAGTTCTTTCGCTTTTTCTGAATCAACTGAAAACAAAAAAAAAGGAATTAAATTGAAATCTAACATGCAGGGTATAACCAGGATCCCGGAATTTGACCAAAAGACAGTGCGGGATTCGGGAAACGTTAAATGGGTACGGGTTTGACTGCCACCCGCAAAGCGGGATTCGCCGAAATTTGGGCACGGATACGGGATTTGGAAAGAAAACGATATTCAGGATAGCGATGACATAAGTTCGGGATGCGGGATTCCCGTGAAAGGAGCGGGATTGCGGGATCGCGGGATCAGGACATCCCTTTCCAGATCCTATAACATAATCACAAAAATGAAGTAGTAAGGGAGATAACAGAAAGATTTTATCATAGCTAGACATAGCTTGAGAAGGCATGCTGGGTTACTGGTTATTAGCTCTGGCGTCAAACCTTGCCATCGCTTTTTTCCCTTAGTCTTCCATCGTTCGACAAAGCAAATGGTGGTCTCTGACAAGAAAAATTGTTGTGATCCAGAAATTTTGCTATTTAGCCAAGACGATTTGAGACACCAAGGTTCCCACAAGGACGCCTTCACACCAAGAAATGTAAGTGTATACTCACCACATATGCTACTAATGCAACGGCTACTACAGCTAAGGTACAAACAACAGCAACGAGTGCTACACCAGTCTTTGATAATCCACTGCTGTCTGACTCATGTTGTTGTTCTTTATTAACAATCCTTAGATCTTCAAGATACATAGGTGACGCTAACATGGCCTCAGCATCAGCCACTAACGTCAAACCACTAAAGTGAATCACTAGTTGGTGGTTGCGAGCCTAACGAAATAAAATTATTAAATCCCTGGTTAAACAGCCACTTAAATCCCTCCCATTTTGAGAGTGAATGTTGAGAGACATCAGATAGTGCCATTTAAAACGCCCGGTAACCACAATATTCTTGCACAAAACATGAATAGATAAACACGTTCATTGTCAAAAACGGAAAAGAAGATAAATTATACTGCGCTTGCACAAATTCAACAAAGTCATAAAGCGAGTCGACCGGCTTCAAGACGACGTCGAGACAAACTTAAGTTTGATGAGTTTAGATTTTTTTATTGAAATGTTCAATAGGCTCTCCTTTATATGAAAAAGCACATGGAAGACAAAACGCTCCAAACTGTACTCCAGTATGAACTAAATATTCTATTCATTGTCACAATCAATATCAAGATGGTAACTAAGAGTGCGTAAGTCCAAAAAATGAAAGTCGTTCCTTTTTGCTTGGACTTGCGTTACAGGATACAGTAAAATATCATAGCATGATGAATCAGATCAATAAAGAATTGCTCGTGCCTTCCTCTCTTAACCTCAGTAGATGCACGCAATTTCTAATGTACAACAGTTTTGCATTCTGCTTCATTTATCCTCTTTTTACACCCTCCGTGCATCTATGGCTATCGTCGCAGTTACTTACACCACCTGTTATAAGACTAGATAGTCAGTAGTTGAACAGCCCTCACCTTTGCAGTGATGTCATCTGCAAATTCGTTCAGGTCTCGTCCACCACTCGTCGGTACAACAGTGAATCCTACTAAAATGCTGCCTTCTTGCACCTGACAGACAAAGATTCTTAGTGTTAGGGTAAAACTAGACTGCGAGCAGTCTCTCTTTTTCTTCAGTTTTAGTGAGGGGAGCGAAGCCACTGGTACTAAGGTTTCTCCCGTCTCCCGCCCACCTACGGTCACGCGAGTGGTCATTTTCGTTTCTCGCGCGTTCGTTCGACGGACTAAGAAAAAAGAGAGACTGCTCATAGAGTAAGGTAAAACCTGAAAATAACAGCTCATACATAAGAAGTAAAACTGCTTATACATCCCTTGACAGCAACTTTTTAGCATTTTAAAACGTGTCGGTTAAGTCTTACTGTCCAGCTAATCCTAAGAGATTAGCTCTCAGATCACAAAATTCGATTGATTGATTGATTGATTGATTGATTGATTGATTGATTGATTGATTGATTGATTGATTGATTGATTGATTGAAAATGACACACCTCAGGTCCCTGAAATTGATTGTCCTTCAATTTAAACATGGTAATCAATTGCTTCTTCAAAGATCTGTGGAAGGAACATAACATATTTCTGAGTGATCAAATGCTACACTGGGAGGTAGTGTACAAAGTAGCAGTGGGAGAAATTGATTTGGTGTTTGCTATAACACAGCTGTGCATGATTTCTGAAGTACGCTGTGAATGCGCATATCATGACATACAGTGTATTTCTGCAAGCACTTAGTATACATGTTTTTAAGCGGGGAGGAATTTGTATTGGTGGTATTAATTTAGTATGTCATTACGCAATAAATCGGCTCTCTGTCTTAAAACTTCTTGGCGACCTAATTTGAGGCACACCCAGATTTCCCAGGTTTTTTCTTTTCTTGTTTTTTGAGAAAGGTGTTTTCCTTTTTTTTAATTGAACACTATTGCATATTAAGACTCCTACCGGATAGTTAACCTTGCGAAAACGTTCTTTGGCCTGTATTATTTCTCTTTTATTGCAAAGGAAGCCTTTTATTCAAAGCGGACAATAGACTGCTTGTAGTCCGCCTACGTCTAGTTCTTATCTCATCCAGCGCGTTTGCAAACCACGACGTTATTATTACGCTCTCGTTTCTCGCGGCAAGCGGCTTCGCCGCTCGCGTGCTTAGGTTTTGTGTGTAGTAACTTTGCCAAGAAAAATTATAAGAGACTGCCCGCAGTCTAAGCGGACAATCATTTAGAGATTTTCTATATTTGCACAGAGTAGGTAACTACACTCACTCTTTAAATGCCTGTGAGACATTCCTGACTAAGTCAAAACTGTAGTTGAATGTGAGTCCTGCGTGGATGCTCCTAAAGGAAGCAACAGATCTCAGATGAGCTTCAGAGAACGAAAACCTTACACTGAGTGGTAATTTCACATTAAGTTGCCACAAAATTATGAAACTCTACTTACAATAGCTCTGGACCTGCAAAACAGAGAAGAAAAAACATCATGTTAGAAAATTCCTTGCCTGTTCCAGGGTTTTGGTTAAACACAACGAGAGAAAAATTTTAAGCCCAGAAAAAAAGAGAAAGCGCTCACAATTACTTTTCCCATTTCTTTTTGTCTTTATATGAAATAGATAACTAATGGGTCGAATTTTATGTCAGGTTCAATTTTTTTAAACCTCAGTTTCCTTTGTCTTCTAGCCTCGCTAGGGTGGGGGGGGGGGAGGGGTGGCGGAGGAACTATTATGGGCCCGCAGTAATTGGCACCATGCACTGTGGTGGTGACCCTGCCAAGATTCGGTGAACCTAAGTATAAAAAATAAATAATTAATAACATGTACCATCATTGACATCACATTTGGGTTGTCCTCTAATTCTAGTTCCAGGCCACTCTGTCCCATCCTCTGACGCACACCAACAATATCCAGTGGATCCCCAGCACTGCACTCGTGCATAAGTTCCATCCTCATTACACTTGGGAATGAACGCACCAATGAGCCTCTTCCGTGTAGCTTCATATGCCTTCTGCTGGCATTCTGTCATACCTGTGAGGAAAAAACTGCCATTTCTTACTCAAACTTTAACTACCTCTATACAAGTTTGTTATCTAACTATCATTGCATGAGACGTGCCAAAGAAAAGAAATTTAACTGCCTTTTTTTGTTAGGCAGGGACCTTGTATAAGGCACCATCAAAAAGCAAATGTTTGTGGCTCAGAAAAAAGAATTACATGCAAGATCAGTAAAACACTTTCAAGGTAATAATGATGGCATGGAGGACCTCAGGTGCTCCCTAATGATAACACCGTGGCAAAGCCTAGGATTCACTCCAGTCAAACATCCCACAATAGTGCTGTTAGAGCAGTGATTTTGTTACCTCTGCGTCCTGCATCCCTGATGCATAAAAAACATCAAAGACGCAAAGTAATTCATGAAATGCACCCTGTAGGACACAAAGAACGATCGATCGATTTGAAGATTTTTTGGTAGAATATCCGGTTCACGCGGTTTCTGTGGCTGGTTGTTTAAAGATGCATATCTATTTCACGAAAATTCATCACTATAAAGTGCAAAACAAAGCTTCATACTCACATTGCACCTGCTTTCCCAAGCTGTCATAGAATTTAGGTTGACATGCATCTGTTCCACAGCCTCCCATGGGTGACACACACTTAGCATCAGGGTTTTTAGTGCAGGTAGCCTTCTTACAAACATCTTTGCATAACTGCCACTTCTTACCATTGTCACAGGTGGATTCAATACTAAAGGCACTGACTACAGCTTAAAAGACAGAGTATAATTAAAAAAATAATAATAAAAAATGACAAAAGAATTAATTTCCTACAGTTTGCTTTCTAACGAGGAGCTTGGCCAAGTGACAAAAGGGTCATCATTTACTATTTCAGGCCACATTTAAGACTGCTGCTCTTAAACTACTTGTAAGATTTGCTACATGATAATCCTGGTAAGCAATGATGCAGCCAACTTGTTAGCATTTTATTGCACTTCTCCCCAGTATCTTCAGTAACAACTGGCGTGTCCCACACTCAGATGTATTTCTGGTCATAGCTTCTCTTGGTGGGAGAGAATTAACAAAAAATGGAAATAGAAGTGCAAAAGCAGACTTCTAGTAAGGGCGGCACGTCACAGTAAGGGTATATGGCAAACTTCTTCAAGCATATACTTAACATCCTGTGCATTTTCATGTTCCCTGTATAAGGTCATATTAGGAAAAGTAACATTCATGATAGATATCTGGAATTGTAACTCTTATGCTGATTTCATGTACATACAATTGTAATTTCAAAATTGTGGCTAAGAAGAGGTGGTTGTAGCTGTGCGGAGAAGGCAAAGAAATGTGAAAAAATTGTATATAACGTGCTTGAGAAGAGTTTTTGTTTGGCTCAACAAACCAACTACTTTTTTCAAAGTCTCCCTCTCATGGTCAGTGCTTATAGTTTTACGCTCCTACAACACACCTTCATTGGTGTCGCATTTGGGTTGTCGTCTTCCTCTGGTCCCAGGTACTTCAGTTCCACCTGCTGTCACACACCAGCACTGTCCTGTGGAACCCCAGCACTGCATACGTTTATAACTACCATCATCATTACACTGAGGAACGTAAGCTCCAATGCGACGGGGGTGGGTTGCTTCATAGGCCTGTTGTTTGCATCTTGAACCTTTAAATTAAGAAGAAATATAATGCAAATGTAACCCAATACATTTTTATACCAACTATGCTCTTTCTATATTTCAAAAGATACAGATTTTTTTCATGGGATCTGGAGGACAGAAATTGATTAACTAGAGAATGTTCTCCATGTGAAAATTCATTTCTTTAATTTGTAGTAATTTATATAAACCCGTAACATCTCGAAAGGAAATTCAATAACTTTTAGAAACTACACCTTTCAAGTAAGACTTCCTGATCTTGAAATACTGTATTTACTCAAATAAGTGCTACCCCCGTTTAAGCACTGCATGTGGGAGAAAATAGTCAATAAGCACTGCCTCCCTGATATAAGCAAAGTCAAAAGACGTTAATTCCGTTACTTTATATGGAAAGAAATACCATTGGTAGTTAATACAATTCTTTGTCACGTTCAACTTTCAAATAAACACCACCATCAAATAAGTGGTACCCTAGCTCGAGTAAGCACCAAATTTGAGGCATGAAAAATTTAATATGAGCCATGGCAATTATTTGGGTAAATACAGTAATTCTTTTATCACTGTCTTTGACAACTCATACAGCACCCCATTACCCAAGATAAAGGTTTGCAGCTCAAACTTACAGTTGGGCTGGACCCTGCTTTCAGTTTTTGGAATTTTCTTGCCATCTGTGGTTGAGCACCAACAGAAGCCAGTGGAGGCATGGCACTGCAAAGGAGAGTAGGAACCATCTCGATGACAGTGGGGGATAAACTGACCAACCATTCCAGGGGGACCACCTGTCGCCTCCAAATACTTCTTCTGACATGGGGTCACACCTGTGAAAATTTGTTAATGACTCACATTTTAGAAGCAGTACTAGTAATAGGCAAAGGTTATAGAGAGCGGGTGACCATCAACAAAAAACAGAATGCTCTAGTTGCCAAAACTGAAAGGATCAAAAGGATTGCAGCTCTGGGAACAAGAATGACCAATGGCTACTCTACCTTTTGTATTAAAACTTACTTGCAGAACAATTGACAAGGTTGTTGTTGTCATCAAAGAACTGAGCTGAACATTGGCCACAATAGTTTGGACGGCATCTGGCTTTAGGGTTGTCAGGGCAGCTGGCTCTTTCACAAGGATCAATCAGACACATCATCAAAGGTGCACCACGTGGACAGGCTTACAAATCAAAGACACAGAAGTGTAAGTTGGACAGCAGACATGACATGTTCAAGAGCTTTAATTTTTCTGATTGAAGAAATAAAAAAACAGTGAAATATTCATTATTATTTTTTGTTAGATGGGTTTACCTTGCTGAGCAGGTGTACTACAGACACGACTGCAGCCATTTCTACAACACTTCTGATCTCCTCTGCAATCACGATCTGAACTGCACTCACTTTTGCAGATACCAACATGATGGGTTTCAACTGCTGGGCAATAACCTGACTTAGCTGAAAAATGCAAAATTATGATATTTTACTGATTTTGATAAGACTATGGCTGCTTCATCCACATCCTAAAAGGCGGCATCTGGTTACTTTCAAGAAGAATAAACTAGGAAATTGTCGCTGCTATTTTTTCATTAAAGCGCCTTTTTTTTCCTACTTCACAACTTTACTAAATAGATGAGATTAGAAGTAGGTACCTTTGTATTCTGGGGCAGTGCAAACATGACCACACCCGTTCGAGCAACATTTCTTGTTTCCATGGCAATCATTGTCATTGCTGCATTCCTCGACGCAAGTTCCAAGCTGCCCTGATTCCACAGCTGGACAGAAACCAGGTTTGGTTGGAGCGTCAGCACACTTGCAGATGTCGCAGCCATCNATCAGACACATCATCAAAGGTGCACCACGTGGACAGGCTTACAAATCAAAGACACAGAAGTGTAAGTTGGACAGCAGACATGACATGTTCAAGAGCTTTAATTTTTCTGATTGAAGAAATAAAAAAACAGTGAAATATTCATTATTATTTTTTGTTAGATGGGTTTACCTTGCTGAGCAGGTGTACTACAGACACGACTGCAGCCATTTCTACAACACTTCTGATCTCCTCTGCAATCACGATCTGAACTGCACTCACTTTTGCAGATACCAACATGATGGGTTTCAACTGCTGGGCAATAACCTGACTTAGCTGAAAAATGCAAAATTATGATATTTTACTGATTTTGATAAGACTATGGCTGCTTCATCCACATCCTAAAAGGCGGCATCTGGTTACTTTCAAGAAGAATAAACTAGGAAATTGTCGCTGCTATTTTTTCATTAAAGCGCCTTTTTTTTCCTACTTCACAACTTTACTAAATAGATGAGATTAGAAGTAGGTACCTTTGTATTCTGGGGCAGTGCAAACATGACCACACCCGTTCGAGCAACATTTCTTGTTTCCATGGCAATCATTGTCATTGCTGCATTCCTCGACGCAAGTTCCAAGCTGCCCTGATTCCACAGCTGGACAGAAACCAGGTTTGGTTGGAGCGTCAGCACACTTGCAGATGTCGCAGCCATCCGGACCCTTAGCCCAACCAAATTCACAATACATTCTGCACATAACAGGGTGGCATGCTGATGGAATGAAAACACAAATTTTAATGCTCTATCCTGTTCTCTGAATAGCATAATCGTTGAAAACCCTTAAATCTCAAGATTCTTAATCTTGTGAAATCACAAATGAAGGTGATGTAATGGCTTTGCATATAAGTTGCTTATTTAAAAATTGTCACTTACTATTTATAGCCATTTATATATATTCTGACTTTGCTCTCTAGTGTATTTTTTGCTTTTTAGATGTTTTTTATTTCTGGATGCTTTGAAGATTCCATTATCTTATTTACATTTCACTGTTGATTTTTGCAACAGTTTTGTTGCAAATAATAATTTGACCTTCATCTGTAAAATACACTGTATATCTGCTGTAACTTCTAACATATCCATTCAGTGCTGTGTCAGCCATAATCACCCAAAATGAATATATACATGCACATAAAATTTAACAAAACTTATTCAGTACTTTTCTTGCAGCTTGGCATTCCTCTGATCTTTGTTCCTTCAATCTCCCAGCCTTCAGTATCAACACACCAACAATATCCTGTGGAGGGATGACACTGCACTTCCTCAAATCTTCCATCATCCTTGCACTGTGGAATATACTGACCAGGCATTTGTGTACCTGAAATATGAGTTAAAAAATTTCAAGACCTGACAAAAGTAAACACAAGACTTGCAAATGAGTAACAGCACCAAAGAAGACTGATCAGTACTCAAAGTTTAATGATCATGCATTTTACTGCACTGTGCTTGAATTGAACCTAGCTGCTGTGAAGTTTCCCCACCCCCGATCTTCCTTCCTTTGTTCCTTCTTGCAGGTCAACCTACACCTTATGCACAATTTCTTTAAGTAATCACTTATCAATCACAAGGCATAAGGTTAAGAACAGTCAGCTCTGTTTAAGACAGACAGAAACTAATTGGGACCTGACTTCAACTGTCTGCCTTACAGGGGGGTTCATCTTATAGGGAGTTAAGTTACATTTAAGCAACCGAAAAAACAGCCGAGAAAGGGACCAACACCAGGTGTACAGCCTAAAGAGGTGTCCCGGAGCAAACAACAGACTGGTCGTGAACTGGTGGCCTTTATGCGTATTTTTAAGATGGAATCCATCAAGAAACTGAGTAATTTCAATTTTCATTGGACAAAAACCTTGTACCAGAATAATTTAACAATATTGCAACATTTTTTTCATTTTTCAAGGACTATAGATATAATTAGTTATCTATAATAACACCAAAGACTATTTCTCATGGGAGCCCGAGAAAATAAAGTTTCATTTTGTGAAAATTGACATTTATTTTCTTGGGCTCTTAGAAGAATTTTTCTTTGGTGCTATTACAGACAACTAATTACATCTATAGCCCTTGAAAAAAATGTAAAAAAGAATGCGATATTGTTTAAATTATTCTGGTACAAGGTTTTTGTCCACTGAAATTATAGTTACTCAATTTGCTGATGGATTCCATTTTAATAACATTTCAAAAGCCAGGCAAGCCATTAACTGGTACTAATACAAGTACATGTGCTTTAAATTTTTATCAACAATTTTCACATATGATTGAGCAAAATGGTGGATATCAAGGCTTACTTGGCTCCACACACCAAGCACCACAACCGTTACTGCAGCATTTTTTGGAGCCTTCACAGTCTTCATCAGTTTTGCATGTTACAACACAAGCTGGAGGCTGGTGCTTTGGGCAAGAGCCAGATTTAACTGCAGATTATGAAAGAAAACATCATAGAAACAGAGGCTTTCTGGAAGTAGTGAGATGCCTAAAATTTTATTATTATGAATCTGTACAGTTAATTAACAAAAAAACCTTATAATTATTTCATTTACCACTTTGGAGTCTCTGTAGCTGACACAATGTTAGATCTGAAAGTGGACAAAAAAACAGTTAATATCAGAGTTATACACCTTGCATGTTGAAAGAAAAAACAGACAAGCCAATCTCTGTTAGCCCTGTCCTTAAATATAAATTTACGCCATTTAATACAGGCTAGTATTCATGGTGGAAGGATTGAAGCATGCCGATATGGTGTACTTGAAAATATGATTTTTCTCTCTGGCTATATAAAAAAATAAAATTTTCTGCCCTCACACAAGAAACTTTGGTTGAATGGATTTTGCCCACAGTCTTCAACTATAAATCCATAAAATTCTAAAGGTCATCAAAACAAGCTTACTACTCTTCAAAGCTTGCAGTTGACAAGTTGGTTGCTTGAAACGCATCCTTGTTCCATTAATTTCCTTTCCATCTTCATCAACGCACCAGGAATATCCCTCATGTGATTGTAAAGGTTCATAACTGCCATCATCCTTGCACTTTGGAACAAACTCACCAAGGAGGCCTTTTGATAACTTCTGACGAGCTTGACATGGCGTCAGACCTATTGATGGGAGAATTACAAAATAATCGTCACAAAAAAGAATCCCAACTCGCAGGCAGCAAACCAATTGGCTTTTCACAGGTATGTCTAAGGAGTTGAGCTCAGGATTTACCAGGAAACAAAATGCCTGCAGATAGCAGTTAGAGCAGCGCTTGAACTTGAGGCCATCGTCTAACTGCTTAGCCACGCCGCATCCACAAAATAACCCTTAAAGGCCAAAGAGTGACCAACATGAACTTTCTCCTGACAACATCAATTACATAATCAAGAGAAAAGTTGTATGAATTAACAAAATAAGCATCAAGGCAAAAATGCTTTGATCTTTTATTAAATTCTCTCAACTAATTTTTCAAGGAAATGTATGGAGATCAGTCTTGAGAATTTGGATGCAGATATTGGGGATTAAAGGGACAAGGTTAGGAGGCATATTACAATGAATACTACTGTCATTCAATAAAATGGAGGTGTTGATCCAGTCCTGTACATACATGTACACCCACATTAATATGAACTGTGGAGGTACATGCCTGTGGACAAAAGAACATGATTACCATGGTGGTGCTCTAACGGATTATTATTAACCTACCAAATGTTTCCTTTTCTAGGAATTGCCATTCATTAAGTGCAGTGCTTTCAACCAAAAGAATAAATCAACTTCAGTTCCACAACTAACAGCACACAAACATTTTTGGTGCCTAATAATACAAGTTTATGATTATTACAATTTGCAGCTTCTGATGCAGAGTTTAAATAGCAAACCTTTGGTGCAGTTGACTACATTTCCTTGCTCATCACGGAACTCCACTTTGCACATTCTGCATGGATCTGAGAAGCAGGTGGCTTGTGGGTAAGCTGGACAACGAGCAAACTGACACATGTGCAGACACAACAAGAATGGTTTTGTTCCATTGATACAGGCTGAAAATATTCATACAATTAACACCATCATCAGCTTCAAACAAGTAAAGGTCCAGTCACTTTGTTAGTACATGTAGGACACAAAAACTGATCTTCACTGGCAAATAAATAATTAAGTCAAAGCCAATTAAAGTAATTACCACTAGAGAAGGTTAGCGGAGGGTGCCTTAAAGGTGGCTATTGAGTCCTGTTAGATCAAGTTGAGCACTACATGTAGGTATCCATGGCAACCCTGTGAGCAACAACCACACTTCACACTGAATGATGGAAATTTAGTGGAGCAACTAAATAATTTATTGATTTATATGTGAAGGGAGGAAATCTGTTGTCACAGGCTAAACTAGAAGGTGCACAATAATAACAGTCAGAAATCTATGATAGAAAACCTACTTGAGAATGAAGGTTCCTGGCAGGTTTTACCACATCCTGGAACATCGCAACATTTCAGCATGCCAGAACAATCATCGTCAGCACTACATTTTAAGCTTGGACAGGATGTCCTAGGTTCCTTGATGATTGGACAGAAGCCATCCTTGATGGGAACTGATCGAGCTGCAGAAAGTTAATAAACTGATTAATACTATTCAAAGTAAATAACAAATAAATAATAGAAGTAGTGATTTTAGCCTAAAACAGGACAGAAACAATAATAACTTATTGATTGAAACACAAAAGCTCCAAAATTTAACTCCTTAGTCTCAAATACATTTACCATGGGATAACAAAGTGGTTTCACGAAAATCAAGCCATTAATTTATACATAAACATAAATATTTTATTGGCTCATCCCCACAGGTCTTTTCAGAGTCAATGCTACAAAAATAATTTAAAAAACACACACACAGAATGCTAAAAACACAAAAAAAAAAGTAATAAGTCGTAAAGGAGATGTCCAGAAGTAGTCGCCTAAGTTGACGCTTAAAACTAGTCACTGATTCACTTGGCTTGAGTGCTGGCTGGAACCAGCGTGCAAAGAAAGTAGTGTCCGTAGTGTAGTGTGCTATCGGGCTTTAACTTTAACAGAAGAACTGTGAAATCAATTCTGCTAGGCAAAAAGTTTTTGGGGCTGGTTGAAATGACGTCTGGGCTAGTAAATGCTAGCTTCAGCTTGCCCGAATGGCAAGCTGTAAAAATGATTTTCTTTGCACCATGTGGAACCCATATTTATCAAGAGCAGTGGCCAAAGAGAGTGGGACTCACCAAGAGTCAAAGATGGAATTTTTTTTCCCTGAAATGCAAGCTATCTTTTAACAAATAATGGTACAATCTGTGTGCAGTATATATTGATAAATGTTCACAGCTGTGGTCACTTTGGACATTTTAAGGGGGTTGGAAGTGGGGGGAGATGTGGGGGAGGGGTGGCCTTTTGTATAAAACTTGACGCTTCCTGGAGATCAGAGAAGGGCACTAAATAGAGAATCTATAAAATAAAGTAACTCAGCAATACATACTTGACCTTCCAGAACGACAGGTTGGCCTTCCTCGCACCCTTGTTCCTACTATCTCATCTCCATTCTTATCAACACACCAACAGTATCCTGTCGAAGACCAGCACTGAATCTGTGAGTAGCTACCATCAGCCTCACACTTGGGCACAAACCTGCCGATGGGTTGAAGTTGAGGGCTTCTGCTGAATGTTGAAGCTTTGGCATTCTCCACCTGACACTTTGTCAGATCTTCAATAATATAAAATAACATTAACGTAGAATACATGCATTAATAGCAGTCCATTAGATCTTTTATTTGGGGGTTATTCCTGACACATCCCTTGAACTGTGACAATTAAAACTGGAGGCTGCTGGTGAGCTTAATTTTACTTACTAACACTGTGTTACCATGAACAAGATAATTATATTTTACAATATTTAAGTTTTTAACATGCAAGAATCTCTGAATCAAACAAGGTTGAAAGCTGGTTAAACATGAGAACAGATTTTTACCTGCCAAAAAAAATATAATAGCGGAGCTCTCGCAGGTGCAGCAGAGCACCATGGGTAAATAAATTTTGTTATCGATACATCCAAGAAATTTTGGTCCTGACAAAATCATTCATCTATATGACCGCCTCTTCTGGTTAGCGGATGTGAAATGTCTTACTTAATAGTCTTAAGTCCAAGGCATAAACAAATAATAAAAATCAATGTTATGATCAATTGACAGTTGTCAAGAGGGCATCTGCTGACCAGTGTCACATGACTGTACCACAGGCTCAGGTGTACAACTCATTGAGGTGAATTGTTTTTTTTAAGTTCACTACTGACCAGTTATGGTATTCAAGTGATTGCAGGCTCAAAAAACTTTACATCAGAAAGTAAGTTGCCATGAGAGCTTTGCTTTTTGCCTTGGCTAAATCTATATATTACACTAGCCTGTTGGTTAATTCCACCAGTCCCAGGACATAAGACAGCAACTTTGTCACAACATAATCTTCATATAAATCAATATTACCTTTTTCACAGTTAACCACCTTGCCATCCTTATCGACAAACTCTACTTTGCATCCCCCACATGGGTTAACTCTGCATTTTGCATCAGGATGGGCAGGGCAGCTGGACCACTCACAGAAATTGCGCAGACAGGTGAACATAGGCCTGCCTCCACAGACTATCGAAAAAGAGAGGAGTAACAAGACTGTCAATAGAATTTTTATAGCTTACAGACCTTTCCCGCATAATTTCCGCTCCAGGGAGCAAACATTAAAATCTGAGGTCGAGGCTCGGGTGGACAATTTCATTTGTCTTTTGAATTGCTGCCTTTGTTTGTAGGAATACGGGAAAGGTCTGTTCAACCTTGTTAAAATATTTCAGCATTTTACAAAACTATAACTTTGAAATTATCTTTTGAATAATATTTTTTGCCACTCTTGGGAAAGGTCACAATAGAATACCTCCACGTGCTGACTTTTTACAATGCGGCAACCCACGAACCATGGTTCCAAGAACAGGGCTACCCTCGGAATCCACACACCAGCAGTATCCTGTAGAGCCATAACACTGTACTTCCTCATAACTGCCATCAGCGGCACACTGTGGAACAAACCGTCCAACGACAGGGTGCGCAGGTTTCTCATCCAGCGAATGGGTACCAAGTGCCTCAAGACGCTGTTGTTGACATTTAGAATAGCCTGGCATTGGAAACAACATGCAGATTTAATTATTGATAGTTATTTGAGTCAGTCAAGGTGTTAAGCGACAGAAGACTTGTTTCTAAGGGCTACTTACAGTTAACCTTCTGGCCGTATTGATTGACAAACTCTGCCTCACATTTGCCGCATGGATTCACTCTACACTTCGCATCTTTCTGGCCAGGGCAAGAAGCAGTACTGCACAATGATGGATCACATTGGAGCTGTTTTGAGCTGGCTGGACAAACTGACAAGACAGGACAAGACAAGAACTTTATTTTTACATCACATGTACAGAGAAAAAGAGAGGAAAAAAGACAATAGTGGAGAAAATATTGGGAAAGAAAGAAATTAACATGAATGGAAAATAGCTTTTTTCAAGGACTGTTTAAGTGAGAAATGTGATGCAAAATAAACCTTAAAATTCTCCATAAAATGTTTTTTAGTACAGCTCAGTATCACTAAAAAGACAGACATGCCTGTAGAAGGTTTACAGGTGTAGAAGTAAATTCAAAGACTGGGTGCCTTGTTTACAAATCCCTGGGAAATTGTTTGAGCTAGACTCCCACAGGGAAAGAGACAAACGAAACCACAAAACCAAGATATCAAGATTGGATTAGACATCTTCACTATTCTTACCAGTAGCAGTGCAGTCAAGCTCTCCTCTTGTTCGAGTTCCCTCAAACTCATGTCCATTTTTATCCACACACCAGCACTGTCCAGTTGAAGCATGGCATTGTTTCTCCTTAAAAGAGCCATCATCTTTACACTCGGGTACAAAGCGGCCAATGGCTGGAAGCTTCAGGGCTTCTTGCCTCTTTTTCCGGCAGGGTGTTAACTCTGATGATTGATCCAAAATCTCATTAGTATAACAGCATTTTATTTACAATACTAATCTACACTTGTAAAATGAAATGATCAAAACAAGTTACTGCTATCACAACGCTTGCCAAAAANAAATTGTTTGAGCTAGACTCCCACAGGGAAAGAGACAAACGAAACCACAAAACCAAGATATCAAGATTGGATTAGACATCTTCACTATTCTTACCAGTGGTAGTGCAGTCAAGCTCTCCTCTTGTCCGAGTTCCCTCAAACTCATGTCCATTTTTATCCACACACCAGCACTGTCCAGTTGAAGCATGACATTGCTTCTCCTTAAAAGAGCCATCATCTTTACACTCGGGTACAAAGCGGCCAATGGCTGGAAGCTTCAGGGCTTCTTGCTTCTTTTTCTGGCAGGGTGTTAACTCTGATGATTGATCCAAAATCTCATTAGTATAACAGCATTTTATTTACAATACTAATCTACACTTGTAAAATGAAATGATCAAAACAAGTTACTGCTATCACAACGCTTGCCAAAAAGGTTTTTATATTACAATAGAGGTTGCTAAATTACCATATATAATTCCAGAATTCCGAAACAAGCGACAGTGACCCCTCTAAATAAGGGGGCGGGGTGGGGGTGGCGTGGGGGAGGTGGAAGTGGGAGAGACACTTTATAACAGTGTTTCATTAAAGGGCTGGTGCTACTTGAGGGCAACTCACAGTCTGCTTAGATACCCGTGCTTGCAAAATGGGCCTGTTTTCCTGGGGTCAACTTACAAGTATAATTTACAACCGTAGCTATCTTTTTAGACTCTTAAACAATAGTAAGAGTTGTAACTTACACTTGCATCAAGCCCCCCCCACTCTATTTTTTTCTTCACTTTGTACTGTATGTACATGTACTTAATGCAGTTCAGAGGTACCTTCTTCAATTCTGATATTGCCCAGTTCAATGCGGTACATGATGTGTCAGAACAGTACAGAACACCTGTGTTCCAACTTTGTGTTCCTTCCTCCAGTGGATTGCCACATCTTAATTTTGTGAATGGGCACTTTCAAAACTTTAGAATGTACTTAGAGTACAAGAACATAATCGTGGAGAAAGTTCATCAGAAAATTACCTGAACATTTTATGTTGTTGTTTCTTGACTTTGTTGAAAAATCAGGAATTCCTCTTTCATCCACACAGAAGTAATATCCTTCATGATTTTGAATGCTGTTGAAATGACCATTTGCATCACAAGAAGGCTTGTACTGACCAAGTAGAAGAGGTCTTTTCTGAGTAGCAGCAAGCATCCGTTTACATAATGACTCCACTACAAAGGATCGAGATATAAAATAATAACAAGGTTAGACCTTCATAATACTAACAGGCAAATGTCTCTCTAAAAACTCTTGTTTGAACTTCTTGCAGTAATTAACCTTGATCCTCTACTTTGAAACCTCTCTGATCTATAATTCATTAAGAAATCACCATGTGATGCATAGCCTGCGACAATTTTTCCTGACATCAAAACTTAATTAACAGTTTGACTACCTTAATCATGATGAAGATTTAATGATCATTCTCCAGCATGGAAAACTTTATGGACATTTTGCCTCTTACACAGCCTGGACTTGGACAAACTTTTCAAACACATTTACCTGGGCCACAATCAACTGTTTCTCCAGATGTTTTGTTGACAAACTTTACACTACACTTCCCACAGGATTCCACTACACATCTTAAACTCTCTTGAGGCTGATCAGGGCACCCAACATAGTTACAGAGCTGGGCGGGGCAGTTCACATGCTCCTGTCCTGGTGGGCACACTGAAGAAACAAGAGAAAACAAAGATGTTTTCCTCATCCAAACATAATTATCCAGTCAACTCTTTTAATGGAGACCTCCAAAGAAGGACACAACCCTTAAACTTGTTGAGTCTGTCTCTACTATTTCTTGGTCATTTTCTATCTTTAATGGAGACACCATTCAATGATGGACAACTAGAGGAGAGCTGACTTTATTTAAACTATATTGAAAATAAAACTGGTTTTCAAACTTTAGTTACCGTATTTATTCAAATAAGCGCCCAACCTCGAATTAGCGCCCACCTCGAAAAGCGCCCATCCTAAAGGCAGGAACAGTTAATAAGTGCCCAGCCTCGAATAAGCGCCCACCCCCTCCTCCTCCCAATCAAACTCAAATAAGCGCTCACCCCCACCCCACCCACTTGAGTGAATATATTCTAATTAGAGACTTCCCCGAGGACAGAGTTTTCTTCAGAGTATTATACAGAAACCTTGCTTTGTTACTTCTTCGCGTTTTGTTATTAGCATTAACTGTTTTGTAGCAAAATAAACATACTTCACTTGCTAAAAAGGGTAAAAATTTAATAAGCGCCC